CAACAGGATGCAGTATGTCTGCTATAATAATCACCAATCTGACTCCTCTCCAATCTTATATGACGTCCCCCAAGGTTCCATTCTTGGTCCAGTACTGCTTTTGTTGTACATAAACGACATAGTCCACGCCAGCACACTCATAAAATACAACTTATTTGCAGACGATAGTAATCTCTATGCCAGCAACTCAGACCTCCATTCCTTGATGAGAACTATGAACACTGAATTGACTGAAGCCAGGACCTGGGTAATACATAATATACTGACCTTAAACCTTGAGAAAACCCACTACACGATCTTTCACAGAAGGAAAAAACTTACCACCAGACTTGGATCCCCTGTACAAGGTCTGTCCAAAAAGAAACCAAACTTCTTAAATAGCGCGCCAACGAGCCGGCTCAGCGTACTCGCGACGGGAGCACTGTGTAGCGGTGACCTTGACCTTTAGTCTAACACTCGCCGCATCACGCCACGCCAATTAGTCATCGAGCTACACGTGCTAGAGTGAACGTGTGTTTAGTGCACCTGACGATTTGTTGCAAGTTGAACATTGAAGGGTCTTGAAGAGCAACGTGTTTACCTGAAATTCTGTCTCAAATTGGGAAAAACTTGTAAGGAGACTTTTCAAATGTTGCAACAGGCTTATGGGGAGGATTGTTTGAGCCGTACGCAATGTCACGTGTGATACCAGCGTTTCAAAAGGGGAAGAACATCCACCGAAGACCATCCCAAATCTGGATGTCAGAGTCGCTCAAATGTGGAATTGATGTTGATCGTCTTTTTTGATTGGAAGGGCGTCGTTAATCTTGAGTTTGTTCCACGTGGTCAGACAGTCAATAAAGAGTTTTACTTGGAGGTCCTGAAGCATTTGAGGGAGGCAGTGCGAAGGAAGAGGCCTGAGGCGTGGACAAACAAGACTTGGATGCTGCACTATGACAAAGCACCTGCTCACGCGTCGCTCCTTTTCCGTGACTTTTTGGCGAAGCACGAGACGATTCGTCCCCCAGCTGCCCTACTCTCCGGATTTGGCCCCTGCAGACTTTTTTTTGTTCCCAAAGTTGAAATCCACTCTGAAAGGTCGCCGATTTCAAACGATAGAAGAGAGAGAAGAAAATTTGCTACGAGACCTGCACACCATCCTTCAAAACGCATTCTAGGACGCTTTCCAGAACTGGAAAAAAAGTTGGGAGCGGTGTATCAACTGTGGAGGGGAGTACTTTGAAGGAGAAAAGTCTGATTAAGTTGTAAGAAAAGCAATAAATTTGTTTTTTTAAAAGTTCAGTTTCTTTTTGGACAGACCTCATACCTTGGTAATACAGTCCTCAAACACCAACAGAATACTGTACTAAATTCCTCGGAGTTATTGTTGATGAGAAATTTAACTGGAGAAACCAAATACAAGTCATTCACAGTAAAGTCAATAAACAGTGCAGTATCATGTATCACACTTGACAGTCACTCACTCTCACAGCAATGAAAGAAATCTGTCATGATCTTGTTTACCAACACCTGATACATTGTCACACACTATGAGGGGCCTCTGCCTCTTCAAAAACACAATCTCTGGTTACTGCACAAAAGAGAGTTGTACGGACAATTTGCTATATATTGAAAATGTTAAAATTCGAATATATTAACACCTACCGCTATGCCTTCTTTGTTTACAATTCTATCAATCACTTGCTTGAAAATAATTATTTCCAGTTCCGGAATAATCAGAGACACAACTTAAGGCACCCAGAGCTACTAAGACCACCCCCATGCGCTCCTCTCAGTCCCAGACCTCCATAAAATAACACGGTGTGAAGGTGTGGAACAACTTACCCCCACCCATCCAGCAAAGACTAACTCCCTTCCTTTAAATCATCTCTTAAAATATATCTATTGTCTAAGTATTAATATTTCTTGTAACACCTACTATATTTACAGTACCTGCTTTTATTGTACCATCAAAACCATTTTATTGGAAATCATCATGTAAATAGATAAGTAATTACCATTGCAATAAACATAATTACCAACTAGACATAATCCTGACAGCTCTGTTCTCTTGTTCAACCTTATTACTGTACAACCCATGTTGTAAGGGGGGTAGGAACAACAAGCTAGCTGCCACCATTTGTAAGAGCGGGGGCTGGTACTACTTACTTACTGGACCACCGAGGCCCCCATTTGTAAGAGCGCGCACCACAAGCTGCCACCCTGTAAGGGCTTGGCACTCTTATAACAACTTACGTAATACTCTGACCTGGTAGCGTGACGTGAGAGGAAAGCCCATGGGTACATGTAAATATAGTATTGAGTATTAGGGAAAGAACAACGGTGAATACTATAGGTGAATCATAGACCCACATACAAATACTACACTGTTTATTAAACACAAAAATGGTTACAGAAAAGACGTATTCACCCAAAACAGGAACTCCTGGTACCATGCCCTCAGGCTCAATTTACTTGCACCACTACTGAGTGTACCCACACCAAAACACACATAAACTCTTACAGCAAGTTAGTACCAATAAAACCAGTGGCACCTGCCAGTACAACACTCAATACCCCAGGGGCATTACTCCAGCGGCCGCTATGGGGGTCTCATCACCAAGTGACACCTTCAAACAAACTCCGATAATTCCGGTGGACTAACACCACCACACCAACAGCCCCACCGAGCTATGTACTGTACTCATCCACCAATGAAGGGGCTGGCAGAAGTTTGGGGGCTTGAAGATCCGGGTTCACCACGAGGGCAGGGCGTTAGGGGAATCCTACCCCCTATGGGGCCCATGGGTGGTAGTGGAGCTTCTGACAGTCGGGGTTCAAGGGAACATCCGACTCCACTGGACCTCATACATCTCCCCAGACTAGTGGATGCGTCATCCACGCTACAGACATGGCCTAGGCTGCGATAGGGACCTGTGGGTGGAGGAGCGTAGCGCTTACTGACGGTTTATAACGAACCTCAACGTTTCAAAGGGACATACATTAAGGACATAAGATACTTCACTCAAAGCACATTAACTACGTTACTGTAACACTTGCAATCAAACTATTAATTAGGTCAAATCACTTAAAAATGGCGAATTACAACACGGAGAAGGTGGAATGACCTACCTGTGGGGGGGAAGCGTGGCGCTTACTGGTTTGAAAACGAACCACCGCCTTCCACCCACGCTAAAGTCGCGGATTCCACCTACTCGACCATTTCACTGAATTACGTTACTGTAACACTCTGACGTTTGAAACTGAGACTACGAACTCAGTTTCATTCCCTACTATTATCTTTACAAACCTTGTTCTGACTGAGCTATCAAAAGCAAGAATCAAATTGATCATAAAAGGTTGGATGGCAACAGGTCCCAACACGCACCGCCTTGCGACAACACCGAGGAGCAGATTCAAAAAGTTCCCTTCAGAATATCAACTAATTCCTCAGTTAATCTCCCTACCACAATTTCACTATGATTATTAGAGTCTCTGATATTCATAGGTGAAAAAAAAAAGGTTTACAGGGTCTCGGTAGCCGAAAGAGTTTACAACTACAGCCAACAAACATACGACATCTCGATGAAGTCATCAAAGAAACAGGGAGAACGGAGGACATTTCCACTGGGAGACTAAAAAGGTTTTGTGGACGTGTGAGCGTAATATGGATCGTTAGTTTTACAGGTTAGCCGTCATTACGATCATGACACTGTTCCCCCATTAAACTTAAGTTTTTCAATTCCACTGTAATTTATGTAAATATAAATAAAAAAAATAAACTAAAAATACAAATAAAATAAAATTAACAAATATTGAAGTGATAACCGTGGTAACATTATGAGATTTTCTTATTACCACCATGCTAGTGTACTATTCCAGATGATACTAAATGTTACATAATACTTCCTTGAGATAAATGTATAGTATATATCAGGTGCCTAAAAGAGAGCTCAGGTTCTCAACTGGCTCAGCCATGTTAATATTGTTATTATTATCCACTCTGTATCTGTGTTTTTCTGGCTAAATAAACTGTTTCAATTCAATTCAATAAGGGCATGCACGTGTTGGCAGGCCGGCTGAATCAAGAATTTTCTGTTAGCCCACATAAATTTCCACTACTGTAGTCTGTATTAGTTTTCAAAATGTGTGGGGGATACAGTATCTTTTAAAACTCTTAATGGCAGAAACAGTGGTCAAAGCATCAGCCAGCCCTTCACCCAGAGGGGCTGGCTGAAGGGAGGAATGACGACTCAACGTGAACTCAACGCTTAACATCATGAATAACAGTGCCAATTTATGCTTACAGTCTTTAATTAATGCTTATTATGCTTTCTTTATATGGCTGATTCTTCTTCTTGCTTGACAGTGTGCATGACATAAATGTATCAAGGGAGGATGGTAGTTTTTGGAGGGTGGCTGGTCCATAACCCCCTGAATTTGTTATTGTATATGTTCTGGGTACCAAGTTCTATCTACAGGAGCAAACACAAACACCTGTAGAGTTTTCGTAGGTTCTATTTACTGGACAAACAGAGATACACAAGCGAGGTGGCTCTCCCTGATCTGTCCGGGGGGTCAACTAGCCACACGCTGCTAACTAGGCTGAATAAATAATGTATATAAATGGAGCATATACATAATATACATACCTGTACATCATACATAATATACATACAGTTATAATCTTATGGAATTAATTGTGTTGAAAACCGTTGACTTTTCACTCTGCATATGTGTTAGTTATATTGTATACCTGTAACATAAGTGATACAAATATCATACTACAGTACAGGGAATTTTAACATAGTAACAGTGCAAAAGTTGAACACACTGGATGACAATGTCTGGGCCCATACTGGCTGAATGCAGTTGTGGTGTTGAACAGCAATTTGCTGACGAGGGATCTTGGGTGGAAGTATGTGCTGGTGTCGAGTAGGGTATGTGTGTTTGCCTTTGATATGTGTATCTCATATACTTGACATGAATTATGACTGTGAATTTCTTCAATATAATTACAGCTAACGTGACCCCAGATGCCGGGGCAAGGCTACTTACTGTACATAAGACCTACACCATCAACATTGAGGGTGAGGTGAGAGGTAGCCATGATATAACAAGGATCATCTCCCACACTGATCCTCTAAATGTTACCATCAGTGAAGATGCCAAATCTGCTCAGGTGAGTTATTCTTTGTGTATTGGGTATGTGGTTTCTGCTTCCATATTTAACCAGACTTTTAGATAAAGTGTTCAGGATTATTTAGGTAAAAAAATGGTGTGTCTAATTAATTAGAACTGATTTTATTGTTTCTGGTATCAACATTTCTTAATTTTTTATATAAAAGAATGGAATTCCCATCACTATATCGTATTGAAATATGCCATTGAAGGATATCTTATTGTAAACGTCTCTTAGAGAATTTATTGAGGATCATTATGGTATCAAATTTATCTCCCTATTAGCCACACTTGAGTGAGGAAAGGGGAGAAAAGTTACCATAATGATCCTGAATAAATTCTCTGAGACGTTTACAATATGATATCCTTAAATGACAAGCTGAATAATAAGGTAAAAATAAGTCTTTTACTGTATATGAAGGGTACTGGTATTAATAAGCTCAAATTATTACAGTAACATATCTTTACTAATTAGTAAATAACAAATAAACAATATTTTGCCCAGTAAGAAAGACAGAGGCAGGCGAACCTTCTTTAGGGGTGTTCGGTCAGTTTCTACCTCCAAAGGTCTCCTCCACCACCAGTCTCTCTATGTACACAACTAATCAAAGAATTTATTTGAAATACTTTGTAACATTCGGTACCATAATATCATGACCACTGGGGCTAGTTGTACTGCCATTGCCCTGTGAAAATCCATAATTTGGAGCAACATATTATTGTACTCACTTTGTACTCAAATGTACTATGCTAAAGGACTAAAATTTTTATCTCTTGTGCAAACTATAAGATGTTTATACTCAAATTAATCGGTATCTGGCAAAGATTCCAGCAATGTAAGTTATATTCTGCTAAGTTTAGTGTGTGGCATTTCATTCTATATATCCTTATCACCGCCATCCGTCTCCCCTGCTGGCTGGGGGGTGGTGGGGGGTAGGTGGGGTGTTGACTGCCAGGAGGAGAGATTAACACTTCCTCAAGGATTATAAAAGGCAGGGAGTTAAATTTTTTGCTTATGAAATATCACTGACTAAACTTAACAGAATATAACTTGCATTGCTGGAATTCTTGCAAAATGGCAATTAATGAGTATAAACATCCCATAGTTTCTATTATAGTACATAAAAATTTTAGTAATTAACTTAGTACATTTTAGTACAGGTTACAGTTGTTAAGCTTCGTGACATCACTAGTGTATAAAGAGTCTCCATATAGCTTGGTTTATTCATTGATCAGTTGTCTAAGTGTAAAAGTAGCTAAATCGAGCCATAATGTATCAATTAGTTTTAAAATAGAAATTATAATGTAAAATGTTTTAAGACAATGGCTTAGTAGTGCTGTTAGTGTGTGTAGGCAGTAGGCAGCTACCAAACAGGGAGGTACTACTGCCTGGGAAGATATTGGAAGCATAATGTATTGTCTAATGGTAGATCCTGCTGCCATATGGCATCACGAAAATTGTGACCAAGTCCCAGGTTGCTGATCTATCTTTCTGCCCCATTTACACACAATTGCAGGGTCTCAACTGTCTCTTTTACTATTGACAACACCACAATTAAAACTGTACTCATTCTTGATCTGTTTTATTCATTCTATTTTATTCTCCTCTGTCAGTTGATATTAATATTGAAGCGGGGCCTTCTCGGATGGGTCCCACTGGTCGGGAAGGTTTTGGACCCCAGGGCCGACCTGATCATCATCGAGTTACTGGGGCCTCAACTGATGCCACCTCGGTTGCTGGAGGATCGGCTTTTTTCACACTTCATTTTTCCAACATACGCAGATGAGATCCAATTTTCCTTCTGTGGAGCACCATCTATTAACCTCTTCCCCCTACCTCTTACTACTATCTAACTTCAACTGACCAAAGCAGCTTCACCCAAACCTTTTCAAGTCTCCAACTACAACCTTTATACCTCTTTCCATTCTTAAGGGAGGTGTATGCGCCTACTGCAACACACGTACACCTATAGGTCGACTTATGAATCTTCTCTTTATGATGTCATCTGGCTCAAAATATCCCTACCTACTGTGACTATTTTTCTTTGTTTCCTACACTGTTCTCCCAACCATTTGGAACTCTTTGACTATCTCACTTCTTGCCAAGAGTCGCTGCTATCCATACACCCAAACAAGGAGATCCTCTACCTAGGGATTTTCAATGTACATCACAGAGAGTGGCTTGGCTCTGCAAGGGATGACCCAGGTGGAGTTGAGGCACTCTCTTTTTCCCTACTTATTGATTTGGAACAAATAATCATACACCCTACACACATTCTTGAGCTTTGTTTTACCTTTAACCCCTCTCACTATTCATACTCAATTTCTGCCCCCTTAGGGTCTTCTGATCACAATCTTATTTCTATTAAATCAAACTGGGCACAACCACTTCCCCCACCCCCCTCTAAACGTCAACTATGGCACTATCGGAGGGCAAGCTGGCAATCCTTGCAAGAATTCTTCACCGACTTTCCTTGGGATGAATGTTGCTTTTCCACTCAGGACTCCACAGTATGTGCTGACAGCATTGCTGGGGTTATACAGGGTGGTATGAGTGCATTTATCCCATCTTCTACCAAAACTTTCACTTTACAATCATGGTTTGATTGCTCCTGTTCACTTGAATGTAGGGAGAGAGATAGGGCATGTCAACTTATGAAACTATCTTCTTCTCCTTTTACCCACACTGTATATGTTCTGGGTACTAAGTTCTATCTGCAGGAGCGAACACAAACACCTGTAGAGATTTCGTAGGTTCTATTTACTGGACAAACAGAGATACACAAGCGAGGCGGCTCTCCCTACTCTGTCTGGGGGTCAACTAGCCTCTCAGGCGACATGTGGCAAGTGATACATTAGCAGCTTTGATATGTCGCCAGGCACATTAATTAAGCATGTGGGACATGGTAAATACATTGCCACACGCTGCTAGCTAGGATGAATAAATAATGTATATAAATGGAGCACATACATAATATACATACAGCATACATAATATACGTACACCTCCCCTCCTCCTCCTCCACGCTCATAGCAAAGTCTTGAGGGGACCTTTTCTTTTGGATCCGTTCTGAGTGTCGAGGGACTTGGTCACTGGGGAGGGTATGGGACTCAACACTGGTGGCGGGGTCAGCAGAAGGCGTTGTTACGGGGCGGAGAAAACGGCGGTTCCTCCACCACACACGATCACTGGGTAACCGCATCTGGTAGTCCCGTGACCTACCGAGACCCATGACTACGCCCACTTTGTCCCAACGTAGGGAGGTTGGGTCCTGAACACGGACTTGGGTGCCAACACTCAACTTGGGAAGAGGACGGGCGTGGTCGTTGTAGCGGGCGACGACGTCTTGAACACGTTCGGCGGCTCGGCGATCACAATACTCTGTCTTGGCTTGCCACTCCTTGGAGAAGGATTGAGGGTGAACAGGGACACAAGAACGAAGGAGGCGTCCATACAAGACCTGGGCAGGGGAGCGTCTGGTGTAGCTAGGTGTGTTGCGGAGTTCAAGAAGACCCCGGTTGAAGGCCTCGCAGTCAATATTCCCAGAAGGTGCCACCTTAAGGATGAGTTGCTTCAGGGATTTGACAGCAGCCTCAGCATGGCCGTTGGACTGCGGGTAATGGGGCAATGACAACACATGCCTGACTCCCCATCAGTCAAGGAACACATCAAAGTCCCGGCTTGTGAACTGGGTCCCTCCGTCGGTTCGCAGGCGCACAGGAATGCCCACGTCACGGAAGTAGTGGCGGGACTTGCTGATGGTGGCGGCAGACGTCGTGTCATTACCGCACTTGATGACAACCGGCCAACCAGAGAGATGGTCGACGATAACCAGGAAGGACTCTCCTGACACACAGAAAAAGTCGGCCGACACAGACTCAAAGGGGCGGGTGGGGTTGTCGTCACTCATGAAGGGTTCCTGCTGCTGGCTGGGTTGTAATACTTGGCATGGCTCACACGCACGGACAACATTGGAGATGTCGGAGTCGATGCCGGGCCAGAACACAGTCTGTCGTGCACTTTGTTTGGTGGCCTCAGCTCCACGGTGACTGTCTTGAAGGCGAGCCAAGATGTGGGGACGTGAGGCAGCAGGGACAACTACACGTGCTCCGTACAGATCAAGGTCAGCGTCGCAATAGAGTTCATCGCGGAGTTTCCAATACGGGAGCAGGGTGTTGTGAAGTTCGTAGCGGTTGCTAGGGAATCCATTCTGCACACACTCGACGAATCGGACATAGGAAGGGTCATCTCGGGCCGCTGTTCGAAGGTCCTCCATTGCCTTGTCGTCATCTGTTGACAGGTCCGAACGAAGGGATTGGACTGCGTGTAGAGTGACCACAGTCTTGACGGAAAGAGCGAGGTCGGCGTCGAGCACATGGTCTTCTGGAGTAGGGCGGCTGACAGGAGAGCGGGATAAGGCATCAGGGATGCAGAGCTCCTTACCAGCACGCTACACTGCTGTGAAGATGTACGCCGAGAGCTTCTCCTTCAGACGCTGGAGGCGAGGGTTCTCAACGGCGCCGAGCGTGTAGTGGTTGAGGATCGGGACAAGCGGGCGATGGTCGGTCACTAGGTGAAAGTGTTGCAGGCCTATGAGGTAAAACCTGCACTTGGACATCGCCCAAACCAGAGCCAACAGCTCCAACTCAATAGTGGCATAGCGCGTCTTGGTGTCAGAGAGGAAACGTGAACCACACTGGACGAGCCGGAACTGCCCTCCACCATGATCCTGCAATAGGGCGTATCCCACGGCATACAAGCGTGAGACATCTGTCTGCAGAACCGTCGGAAAGGCTGGGTCAAACATGGTGAGGACAGGTGGACTAGACAGGGCCTGTTTCACTTGCTGGAAAGCCTTGTCGCAGTCGGGGGTCCACAGGAATGTCCTCTTGGGGCTCATCAGGGGGCGAAGTGGTTGGGCAGCTGCGGAGATGTCTGGCGAAAACTCTGCTAACTGGTTGACGAGACCGATGAAGGACCTCAAGTCGGTGAGGTTGGCAGGGGTGGGAAAATCCGTGATGGCGCGGACCTTCTCCGGGTCAGCTGCAATACCATTCCCTGAGAGGGTGTACCCTCAAAATTCCGCTGAAGAGCTGGCCAGAACAA